TGCTGAACTACAGGGAGAAGGAGAACATCCCACGTGCTGTCCAGTGACCCTAGTTTTGCCAAATGGCATACAGGACACCCACATGAATTTGAATTTCTAGCAAATGAATAGGTTTTTTTGGTTTTAATTTGCTACAAGGTATGTGATCTCTTGGTCTGGCTCTCTTTGTCCAGTAACCCCTGCTTCACTCAGTTCTTAAATTTCAAGATATGTTGGCTCTAACTTTTATATTTGAGTGTTTGAAATTAGTCTCTTATTTCCCTTCACTTACACATGGAGCTTTCTAGTAAAAAGTGTGCTTCCTTTATTCAGGTTTAGCATTTACATGCTAAGCATGCTCTTTAGATGAGAATTAATATTATGTATCTGTTTACCGGACCAGCAGTTTTCTGGAGATTTTTCTGTCTATGGTACTATTAATTATGGGCAATTGTAACCCAAGAAAAAAACTGGTTGAGGTGAGAAATAGCCTCCTCTAATAAAAAGTACATTTTAAAAAATAGTAATACAGGGAACACTTAACTGTTGTTTTAACACCCAAATGGTCAGGAAGACTTTGAGGTAGAGAGTTAGGGTATGCAGCCAGCCCCATGGCCTAATGGTCTAAAGACACCAGATCCCACATGGCCAGTTGTGCGATTCAAATCCCAGGCCCAGTGGCTTGGAAAAACATGCTGAGTACGTATGTATGTATGCCCAAAATCCTGACAGAGTGAAAAAATGGTGAAGGGATATCTGTACAGTCATGCCCCATGGAGGGGGCTTTCTCCCTTTCCCTGTTTCTTTCTCTGTTAAGCACATACACCCTCTGGCAAATTTTTAGAATAGGAGAATGTACTATCTTAGTCAGAAAGGGCCTCTGAGGACGTGACATTTGAGCAGAACCTGAAAAGAGGGAAGGTGGGAGTTGCTCGGTTTCCAAGTGTGTGTTCTAGCCTTATTTCTTTACTCCCTGAGTATTGGGTGTGTAATAGGTACTTATAAATATCTGTGGGTTTGGCTGAAGTGAGTCCTGACAGTGCCAAAATGAACTGCACTTGTGCCTCCTCCTTCAGGCAAGCTGTTCAGAGGACATGGGCCGCTGGCTTGGGCTGCTGCTGGTGGAGATGGGCTCCAGAGTCACTCCTGAGGCTCTGCACTACGACTACGTGGATGTGGAGACCTTGACGAGCATCGTCAGTGCTGGGCGCAACTCCTTCCTGTAAGGCTCACCCCCACAGGCCACACTGCCCAGGACCTGGCCTGTCTCAGCTCCCTCCCAACGGCCCTGAGTGCAGCTTTGACAGTGGAGGAAAGGGCGGAAAAGCTAAGGAAGACTGGGAAGCCAGAACGGTACCTCCCTCTTCCAGCTAGGAAGGAGGAGGGAGCTGGCTGACAGGTGGCCCAGGTCAGAGCAAGGTGAAGGTGGAGTGAGCCAACATGGAGAAGCCCTAGAGCAATGGCCTAGGCTCTGGCTTCATGGCCCAGACCTTAAGCACTCACAGCCTTGAGCATATAGGTAGGCATGAGGCAGCTACTTAGAATTTGGCATCAGAAGAACTAGGTTCAAGTCCCAGCTCTATCACATCAGCTGTGGGAGCTTAGGCTGGTTGTATGCCATCTTCAATCCTGTTTTCTTGCATATAAAGTGGTGGTGATGAAGTGCCTGCCTTCTGGGCTGTGGTAAGAATCAGATGGGACTCTGCCTAAGAAGCTCTGACACATCTCAGAGGACAGCTGCCTTACACGTTGTTTTTACTAATCTCTGACCTGTATTAGGAGATCCTGCCAAACTCAAGTGAGAGGATAGGAAGGGTGTTGTAAGCTGCACACTGTAGTTATCGTCATCACTCCTTTTATATTCTAGATATGCGAGATCCTGCCAGGATCAGTGGCCAGAGCCCCGTGTCTACGATGATGTTCCTTATGAAAAGATACAGGTATGGTCCCCTGGGGCCGCCCAGGAATGTGGCAAAGGCCCCGTACGACCCTTCCCTCCTTTTCTCTCTCATTGCTCCTTTTATCCTTTGCCTCAGAGAGGTTATTTTTGTTTAACCAATAGCTAGAGGGGAGCTCCTTCTGAAGGGTCTTCAGAAGTTCATGAAAATTCATATTATGGGAAAAACTATGCATGGATATCAAAATTTTTTGCACCAGATAAATTCATATTTTAATTTTACTCTCTGCAAATGTTTTGAAGTTCCCAAGTGTCATATATCGTGGGTCAAGATAGGAATTCCTGCCACAGGTGGCTGAGTGATACAGGGAAAGGATGATCAGGAGGAAAAACAGACTCTGAAACTGCAAAGTACTGCAGGAATTTGAGGCATCCTCTCCAGCTTGAGCAAGGTGCCTGGGATCTTCACCTGTGCTTGCCACTGGGTGAACTGATGCTGCCAATGCCATGGTGTCTGGGGTAGATGCTGACTCTGGCCACCCACAGGCCTTCACCGAGGCATTCACAGTCCAGGGCCAACTTCCAGAATAGTCTCCATGCTTTGCTCTCTACACCAAAGAGATGCCAGCTTGGTAGTTTACCATGAGGCCTCTGTTGCCCTCACATGACCCAGAATGCTCATGGCAGCAGGCCCGGTGCCTCTCCTCCCGTGGGAAGCTGGCAGAGAATCGCATTCTGACACTGGTGGTGGGTCAGGCTTCATAGGTAGGGGTTAGAGAGGAAGTAAAGCCACAGACAACACCAGAAGTGTCTGCAAGCTAGGAATCCTGCCTTGGACAGGGCTAGATGACACTCTGAGCTCTCCACACTAGGACTCCTTTTTCCAGAAACTTCTCCAACCATCCTTCTGTTCACATAGCCCTTCTTTAGACTCATATAAACTAGTGGATGTAGCTTGAGGTTTCTCTCAGTCACAGAGTTGGGATGTAAGATAGCTTAGTGTTGAAGGACATGAACACTGGGATCAGACTCAAGGCTGAGGCTGAGCGACCTCAGGCTTCACTTCTCTGCTTCTCACTTCCTGGCTCCAAATTTATATTACAAAACCTACTTTCTAGGAATATTGCAAGAACTAAAAGAAATACTTTATGTAAATGACTTAACATAGAGCCTGGACATCAAATGGTCTTATATGGAGGAATTTTACAAGTTTGTGGGGGGCCAGCCCCAAAGCACAGTAATTAAATGCTGCCTATAGAGGACCTGATCCCACATGACCCACTGATGTTTAAATTCCAGCCTATTTAGTTTGAAAAACACAATAGGCATGTGTGCATTCATGCCCAATATCCTGATGGAAAGAAAAATGGTGGAAAAGGGATTGTGGCATGACCATGTCATACTGGGAGGTGCTTTTCCTCTCTCTCTCTCTCTCTCTCTCTCTCTCTCTCTCTTTCTCTCTGACAAATGCACACACCCCCTGGCAATAAAAATAAAATAACTGTGGAAAATGGAATTCAAGTACAAATTTATTTTGGTGCAAAAGAATTTTGAAATCCATGCAGTTTGTTCACAATACACATTTCCCAATTACTTTTTGGAGGCCCCCTCAGTACTATTACTCTTCTGTAAGAGTAATAGTCATAATCATCAACATCATTACTATATTACATTATTATCACGGTCCATTCATGGTTTCCTGAGCTTCATCGGGATTTTGACTGTTTTGATACCCTTCATGCACACATGTATACTCAGTCTGCCAAGCTATATCACTTTCCCACTGGTTGATCTCATCTATGACCATTTTTTTTGAAGACTGAATTAGCAATTCAAGAAATTAGAGGGGTACTTCCTCATGTTGTGAGGACAGAAATATCTATGCTAAATCAAATATAGTCACCCATAGTCTTTTGAGACTTAACCAGCTTTCCTTGTAGCTGATCCTCCACTTGAAGGTTGCCTTCTGCTGTCTCCAACAGGAAGGAATGCAGTTCAAACAATACACTGCTAGTTCAAGTGCTTTATAGAGTGCTATGTAAGTCTAAAAATGTAAGCCCAAGATCTCAAAGGTCACTCCAGTGCCAACACATCAAGCAAAGACAAGAATATAGTCCTACATAAACAACCATGAGCCTGTCTGCACCTAACCTTCTCCTTCCTTCTCCTGGCAGGATGAGGAGCCAGAGCGTCCCATCGGGGCCCAGGTGAAGCGCCACGCCTCCTCCTGCAGTGAGAAGTCCCATCGCGTAGACCCGCAGGTCAAAGTCAAGCGCCATGCCTCCAGTGAGTTCTTGTGGGTTTCCCTTGCTGAGCAGGGTGGAGGGAAGGAAGCAGAAGTCTCAAAATCAGAGTCCTTCAGGGGTCAGGTGAGTAGAGAGAGAGAAGTAGGGCATAAGAACATACACTGCTGTTAGAGAAATAACAGCCCAAGCACAATAATAAGCTAGCATGTGGTCTCAGGGGAAAATGATAGGGAGGTGGGGAAGGCTGCAGGAACCTGGAGCACTGAGGCCCAAACTCTCCAGGTGACTGCTGCTCAGCTCCAGTCAGCTGGCAGTCCCCGCACAGCAGTGCAAGCCCACGCTGCCAGACTTGATTATTCAACAGCAGCCAGAAATCTAGACTGCATGTGAAATCTACTTATTTTTTAATATTAACAATTTATTTTTTAACATTTTAACATTGAATGAATGAAAATACACACACACAAACACACATGGGGTGAAAGAGGGTTCACGAACTGTGTCTATTTCAGAGGCTCCAATCTGCAGCTTCTGATCTGGAGTAATGGTGGAGAACTGACCCTCCACGTGCCCTCGAGTGGGCTCCTTGAAAGGCACAGCTCACCTCTGTGTCCCAGTCTGAGCTCCCCTGAGCACCCATAAGGGCTCGGTCAGTTGCCACACTGCACAGTGATGACTAAGTACACCAGACAACTCTTTTGTAAGTTCTGTTCGATTTCCAACACTAACTTCTGCTCATGTGAGGCTTATCTTCATGAGCAAACCAACTTCTAAGGACAGCATGTACCAAGAGTTTTTTCTTCATTGTTTTTATATTTCTTCCTCTTTCACCTGAACAAAGTCAAGTTCTGTTCTTTGCTTTAGGAAGATTTAAAGAATTATTTTATTTAAAGGATTATTTCATTTAACTTTATTTATTTTTTGTTTGTCTTAATTTGATCAGAGAGAGAGAGAGAAAGCAAGAAAGCAAGCCACCAGGTCCAGGACTCAAACAGTGGTCCGCCATATGGGAGTCTAGCACTTTTAACCACCACGCCACCTGCTGGCCCCAGTTTTGTTCTATATTAGAGCTCCATTTCTTTAGTGTAGATAATCCCTCTGGGGGTCAAAAGCTCTGTATTCCATTCTTCCCTGACCAAAACATTACTATTTATCTTTGGGAAAATCCCTTCCTCTCTCTGGATCTGAGTTTTCTCTTTGTACTATTAGAGAGTTATTATGTAACATTCTTTACACTCTACTCTCATAGGCACTGGAAATACAGGATCTTGTGAAATGCTCCCTCCTTTTTTTTTTTAAATTTGCTATAGGGTGCATGCACCTGCCAGAGAGAAACAGAGAAAAAGAGACAGAGATAAATCGTTCCCCAGTGCAATTCCTTCTTTTCTGTTCTCATTTAGGCACACACATGTGCCCAGTGTGTTCTCAAGCCACCAGGTCCAGGACTCCAACTGAGCAGTCAGTCATGTGGGATACAGTTGCCTTAACCTCCGTGCCACCTGCTGGCCCATGAAATGCCCATTTTTAAAATGGAGAATTGAGAACCGGCAGATGGCATAATTGTTACATCAATGAACTCCCATGTAGTTGACCACAGTTCGAGTTCTGGACCCAGCAACTTACAACTCATGCTGGGCACTTGTGCATGTGTGCCCGAAACCCCAAGGGGAGACTGGAGGAGAAGAGATTGGCTATACCCCTTAGGGAGGTGACTTTTCACTTTTTATCTCTCTGTCTCTGTCTCTCTAGAGAGCACATGTGCCCTATAGCAAAAAAAAAAAAAAAAACTCTAAAAAAAATAGAGAACTAAACTGAAATAACCATGTAAGATTAAAGAAATCACAAAATATCAAAATACTATTTTTTTTTAAATCCTAACAACAGGGGCCAGCAGGTAGTGTGACCGACCATGGTTCGAGTCCTGGTCCTAGCAGCTTGCTTGCGCTCTCTCTCTCGCTCTCTCGCTCTCTCTCGCTCTCTTTCTCACTCTGTCACTCTCTGGTCAAATTTTAAAAAAATAAGTAAATAAATAAAGTTAAATAAAATATTTTTTTAATCCTAACAACAAAGACAAATATATCTTTTCTTCAAATCAAATTTTGTATGGAAACCCAGTTTAGAAAAGTGGAGTCACTCTGGTTGAAGCCCACCAACCTCCCCTTCACTGTACAGTGAGTGGCCCATGAGCCATCAATGTGAGGCCAGTGGGCAGGATCCCTGTAAGACAGCTGGAAACCACAGTGAGAAACTACTGATAGAGGCCAAAAATATTGTCTTCAGAATCTAGCCACCCAAGCCACTAAACAAATAAGCAAACAATAAGTACTGTGCAGGGAGAGGGGAAGAGTCTATATACAAAGATGCTGTAAGATATTATCTAAAATCCCCAATTTTTCAACAGGAAATTATGAGACAGGCAAAGAAGCAAAAAAGTGTGACCCAGTAGAAGAGGGGAAAAAAAGCAAACAGGCAACAGAAATTGCCTATGAGAGGGCCCAGATGTAGCCTTTAACCAAGACTTCAAAGCAAACATTATAAATATGATCAAAGAACTAAAGAGAACCTTGCTCAAAGAAGTAAGGATGGTAAAGTGGCAATGTACTATCAAACAGACTTTCAGTGAACAGAGAAAAATTATAAGAACCCAAAAGAACTCATGCAGCTTAAAAGTACAATAACTGGATAAGGAGATGGTGTAGAGGTATAGGTGGCTGGATCCCAGGTGGCCAACTGTGTGGTTTCAGTACCAGAACAGCGGCTTGAAAATCACACTGGGCACATATGCATGCATGCCCAAAGTCGCACAAGGAGAATGGAGGAGGAGAAAGGACTGTGTCATGGCCAACCCCTTAGGAGATGATTTCTTACTTTCTTTCTCTGCCTCTTTCTGGTAGGCGTGCATGCCTTATAACAAACTTTTTTTAAAAAGTAAAATACTATGGCTATTTTCTTAATATTAAAAAGTATAATAACTGAAATAAGAAACACACTAGAGGGGCTCAACAGTAAATTTAAACTGGCAGAAAAATCAGTAAACTTCAAGACAGATCAATAGAGACTGTGTTCGGGACCAACAGATGGTGTTATGGTTCCATCGCTGGACAGGGTCGACTCTGGTTTGAGTACCAGCCCTGGAAACTTAAAACTCACACTGGGCAAGTGTGCATGCATGCCCAAGACCCCAAGAGGAGAATGAAGGAGAAGGGATTGCAGCATGGCCATCCCCCCAGGGGGTGATTTCTTGCTTTCTGTCTCTCTCTCTCTCTTTCCAGCAAGTACATGCACCCTATAGCAAAAGTCTATTTTAAAAAAGAGAGAAATTCTGTTCAAAGAACACAGAGAGAAAAGAATAAAAACAAATTAACAGAGGCTCAGAGAAATGTGGTATACCATAAGTGTCCCAACATATGTGCAAAGGAAGTACCAAAGGAGAGAAGAGGGAGAAAGTAACATAGAAAAGTGGCACCAGCAGATGGCATAAATGGTTACATCACAGCACTCCCACATGGCTGACAGCAATTTGAGTCCCAGGCTCGGAAGCTTGAAACTCACACCAGGTACATGTGCCTGTGTGCCTAAGATCCCAAGAGAAGAATGGAGGAGAAGGGATTGTGGCATGGCCATCCCCCCTGGGAAGTGATGTCTTGCTTTCTTTCTCTCTCTCTCTATCTATCTATCTATCTATCTATCTATCTATCTATCTATCTATCTATCTATCTCTCCAGTGAGCACAAGTATCCTATAGAAAATATCTCTCTTAAAAAAAATTATTTGAGTGGCAAAGTGAACATAGAAAAGTATTAGAGAAAATAGTAGCTGAAAACTTTCCAAATTTATTGAAAGGCATTAACCTACACACCTGTGAAGCTCAGTGAAGTCCAAGTAAGATAAAGGTAAGAAGAGCCACAAAAGACAGGTCAATGCTGACCCCAAAAACTAGAAAATCTTGAAGGCCAAAGAGAAAATCAACTCATAAGAGAACTCTGATAAGATTAACAGCTGTCTTCATGTCAGTAGCAATGGAGGCCAGAAGGCAGTGGGATAACATATTCAAAACACTGAGAGAAAATAACTGTACCAGCTAAGAAACTAGATTCAGCAAAGCTATCTTTCAAAAACATGAAGGCAAAATAAGGACAGTACCACGTAAGCAAAAACTGAGAGAAGTTGTTGCTAGTGCATCTACCCTACAAGAAAGGCAAAAGGAAGTTCTTTAGGCTGAAAGCAAATGACCCCAGAGAGAAATCTGAATATACACACATATACACATACTAGTAAAGGTAATTAGTTTAAAAGATAAATGCATATTTCTCCTCTTTTATTCTCTGAGTTGCAAAAGAAACTAAGAAAACTATGTATTTTCCTTTATCAGAGAGAGAGGGGGAGAAAGAGAAACAGAGGTAGGTTTTGTTTTTTTTTTTTTTGACAAGGCCTCATGGTGTACAGTCCTCCTACATCCACCTCCCAATATTACAGAGGTGCACAACTGCACCTGGCATATTTACATTGGCCTGGGCACTGAACCAGTGCTTCCAATGCAGTTTATAGCCCCCCAAGGGGTGGTGTTACCTGTGTGCCACTGTGGCTGGGCCTAAAACTATGTATTTTGATTTTGTTGGGCTTGTAGCATATAGAAATGTAAAAACTTGACACTAATAGCACAAAAGAGGTGAATGGGAGTAAGGATCTCAGACGGTACATAAGAAGATTAATATGAGAAACTCTATAAATACACTTGCCCTCCTTCCTTCTCTCAGCTTCCTTTATAGATATGAAATTATATGAAATAATTACTTTAGGGCCAGTCCTATAGTGCACTGGTTAAGCCCTGTAGTGCCGTGGTTAAGCCCTGTGCATAAGGAGCCAGATCCCACATGACCAACCACAGTTCAAATACCAGCCTTAGAGGCTTCAAAAACATGTGCTTATATGCCCAAAATCCTTACAGGATGAATAAATGGAGAAAAAACGATTACAGAATGACCACATCCCACTGGGGGTTCTTTCTTCTCTCTCTCCTTCACTCTGCCTTTGGTGAGCGCATATGCCCTCTGGCCAAAAAAAAAATAGTTACAGGGACCAGCAGTTAGCATAATGGCTATATCCCAGGACTCCCATGTAGTTGACCACAGTTTGAGTCCCGGACCCGGTGGCTTAAACTTACGCTGGGTGCATGTGCGTGGGTGCCCAAGATCCCAAGAGGAGAATGGAGGAGAAGGGATTGCGGCATGGCCATCCCCCCTGGGGGGTGATTTCTTGCTTTCTCTCTCTCTGTCTCTCTCTGTCTGTCTGGCAAGTGCATGCGCCCTATAGCAAAAACCTCTGCAAAAAAAAGAAAAATAGTTACAGTTTAAAAAACAGTAATTATGCATTGTTGAGTCTGTAACATATATAGATGGAATATATATATCTAATAACAGCACTCAAAAAAGTCCCTGATTCAATAAAATGTTATTAACCTTTTGCTGGTCCACTTATTTGTAAAATTTTTACCAGATTATAAAATCCGAAAGTCTGGGAGCCAGCGTCCATGGCATGCTATTGTGTGTCTGGGCAGTTGGGGGAGATCTGAGTCCCATTCACCGCCCCCCTCACTGTATTTCTGATCAGGCTTAACTGCAGGGTAGTTGTGGCAGGGACTGACTTTTTTTTTTTTTTTTTGAGAGATTTTCACTGTAGGGCGCGTGCGCTCGCCAGACAGACAGAGAGAGACATAGAGACAGAAAGCGAGAAATCACCCCCCAGGGGGGATGGTCACGCCGCAATCCCTTCTCCTCCATTCTCCTCTCGGGATCTTGGGCACGCACGTACACGCGCCCGGCGTGAGTTTTAAGCCACCGGGTCCGGGACACGAACCACGGTCGACTACGTGGGAGTCCAGCGACATAGCCATTACGCTAACTGCTGGTTCCCAGGAACTGACTTTTCATGGGTCATTGGGTGACTACAGCAATCCCTACGAGAGTGGTAGAGACATGACCCTCAGTTATCAGTAAACTATGGGAATCATTTCACACTCCAGTCATTTACAAAGTGTTGTGTATGGCTGCTATAGCATAAATAAGTAAAACTTTCCCAGAGAGGTTGGACTACAGACACCAAGTGGGACTCAGACAGTCATGGGTTCAAACCTTGACTCTGTCACCATTAGCTGCGGGACCCAACCTCTCTGTGCCTCAGTTTCTAAACAATAAAACTGACCTAATACTATTAAGTTTTTGTGAAGACTAAATGGGAATGCAAGTAAAGTCACAGCATATAATGCTTAGCATATAGTAAATGCTCAATAAATTTCATTGTAATTATTTACAGTCATTTTCCACATAGTATAAAACCCACAGTAGGGGACCAGCAGATGGTGTAAAGGTTATGTCGCTTGACTCCTGTGTAGTTGACTGTGGTTCGAGTCCCGGACTCGGTGGCTTAAACTCACACAAGGTTCATGTGCATGCGTGCCCTAGATCCCAAGAGGAGAATGGAGGAGAAGGGATTGTGGTGTGGCCATATCCCTTGTGGGGTGATTTCTCACCTTCTGTCTCTCTGTCTCTCTCTATCTTTCTGGTGAGCACACGCACCCTATAGCAAAAACCTCTCCAAAAAAAAAAAAAAGAACCAACAGTAGACGACTGAGTCATTCCATCTCCACACCTTCCCAGTAATAAAACGGAAAGTCCCTGGCATAAGCCCAAAGTCTCAAACCTCTACCAATCTGAATTATATGTAGCTATCTCCCTGTCTTATACTCTTATAAATACCTGAGAGGTGACTATAAAACATGCCCCTTTAAAAAAAATTTATTTATTTATTTATTTATTTATTTATTTATCTATCTAGTTGTGATTTTTCAAGCTTCCAGATTCAGGACTTGAACCTCTGTTGGCCATGTGGGAACCCAACGTCTTAACCACCACGCAACCTGCTGGCCCCTAAAACATGCTCTTTAAACACCAAAATGTATTATGCATCTTCAAATATGTTTTATCATATAATTATTAATTATTACCTAACATTTACTAAGCACCTATTTGGCAGGTACTATACTAAATACTTTTTACTAATTACCTCATTTTAATTTTACCACAACCCTACAAGGAAATATTTTTCAATACCCTTATTTAGAAATAACTAAACTAAGGTCTACAGGGAAAAGCACAAAAATACCACCATTCACTTTTGCCTGATGTCACTCAACCATTAAAGGCAAAAAAGAACACACACCTTGGTTTGTCTGGTTCCAAAGCCCTTGCCCCTAGTCTCTGTGATCCGTCCCCTCTCCTTTGTTCCTGATTTCCTTCAGGGATTCATATTAAATATATCTAAAGGAATAGATATAAATATTTCCATTTTATATGGAGAAGTTGAGGCTTAAAGGGAAGTTATTGCCACCCCAGAACTGTTACCAGGAGGTCAGGACTGAGGGCCTTTTCCTACCCCACACTCTGCAGGTGCCAACCAATACAAGTACGGCAAGAACCGAGCTGAGGAGGATGCCCGGAGGTACCTAATAGAAAAAGAGAAACTGGAGAAGGAGAAAGAGACGATTCGGACAGAACTGATGGCACTGCGGCAAGAGAAGAGGGAGCTGAAGGAAGCCATTCGGAACAGCCCAGGTACCTTCGTGGATCTGGTCTTCAGTGCTCCTGGGCAGCTCTGAGTACTTCCCCAGCACAGTAAGGGGCAATCCCTTGCACAGGTCACCTGGTTTCTTACCCAGACAAGGTGGGCTTCTCCCCACCTCCTCCTTTCTCCTCCTTCTACTCTTCCTCCTCTTCTTCATCATCATTATTCCTCCTAATTAAAGGAAGTGCCATCAGCTTTATAATACCAATAAAGTGTATACATAATGTAGTAAGAGGCAATTTGATTTTAGAAATGCGATAAAGTCTGCCTTAGAATCAAGGGAATAAGAGATCATATTGAACCCCACATTCATTCATTCATAAATATATACGAGGCATTGGTCCAGGCACTTTAAATGATGGATGGTGACATTTGCCAGGATCCTCTTCTGAAATCCATGGACCTCAGCAGGGTCTGCCTATGCTGGGCTCTTCCACAACCATTTTCTGCTCCGTTTCCTTTGAATTCTTTCTCTAACCACAGTTCACATTTTCAGCCTGAAGTTTCTCCACATGCTGGTGAGAACAGGGGTCCTGTCCTTAACATCCAAAACCATCATTCTCAAAGCCCTATGAGAATCTGATGGAGCATGTTTAAGCTTTCCTAAGAGGTTACCATCATCCACAGTGTTGCAAACAATTCCAGGAGCTCATGTGTCTGCTCCTGGAGCTCAGCCATCGATTGCCTAAAACTCCGTGAGCCTCAGATTAGGAACTTCTAGTCTGGGCCCGCTGGTAGCATGGTGGTTGAGGTGGTTGGACCCCACATGGCCAACTGCACCGTTTTAGGGCCAAACATGGTGTCTTGAGAAACATGCTAGGCACATGTACATGCATGCTCAAAATCCCAAAAAGAGAAATGGAGAAGGGATTGTAGTATGACCTTCTCCCATGGGGATGCTTTCTCACTTACCCTCCCTCTCTATGTCTCCAGTGAGTACACATGCCCTCTAGCAAAAAGAAAAAAAGGAAAATGTAAAGAAAGAACTTCTGGTTTAAAGGGTAACACGTGTCTTGTGTGGCTAAGAACTGGTATCAGTGGGAGGAAGGTACAGGAAAGCAGGTTGGTTTCGATGTAAAGAAGAATTTTCTAAGAGTCAAAACCAGAATTTGAGCAGAGAACTTCTTTCACCAATGACTACCACAAAAGCATTAGGATTCACTGATTGAGCTAGCTTTGATCCCTAAACCAATCACTTTGACCAGATGAGATGTAATTATGAGCCTAAATTATGTGCCAAACCCTGGAACTAGAGTGGCATCAGCCCCACCCAAACTTTAGGGAATGAGAGGGAAGAACGGTTTCTCGATGGAAAATTGGGGTCCTCTTTCCCAGTGGGGAAATGGGTACTGGGTAAGTAAAGACCATACTGCCCAGCATGGAGCCTGAACCTCAGGCCCTAATTTACCTCTTTAATAGGACAAGGGGCTAGACCATCTCAAAGGGGCCAGCAGGGACTTGAGGCCCTGCTAGACACCCTGATACATTAGGCCAGGCTCAGCCATTTCTCATCAGTATCTCTGGACTCAGGAGCAAAGTTAAAAGCTCTGGAGGAAGCCGTGGCCACCTTGGAAGCTCAGTGTCGGGCGAAGGAGGAGCGCCGGATTGACCTAGAGCTGAGGCTGGTAGCTGTGAAGGAACGTTTGCAGCAGTCCCTGGCAGGGGGCCCAGCCCTGGGGCTCTCCATGAGCAGCAAGAACAAGAGCGGGGTGAGTCCACTGCCTTCCATACCAGGGCAGCCATTCTTTAATCCCTAAAGCTCTCTCCATCATGATCATTCTTTGGGGCAGGAGTTATGCTCATTTACAGCTGAGAAAACTGAGGCCCAAACCAGTGAGGGGACATGCCACAGGTGGTGAGCTAGGAAGGGGACTCTTAGAGCAAGTCCTCTTGGCCCTTTGGCCTGATGTTCTCTCCACAGCAGCACCATCATTTGACTTCGCATCCTGAAGGGGATCTTAGCAATAACCTCGCTGTTATTGGTACCATGTTGAGGAACAGATGTGTGGTGATCGGTTGCTGCATCTTAACCTGTATTATCTCACACAATTGTCCCAGCAGCCCTATCGGGTAGTAGTATTACATGTATTAACCCCCCCTGATGACAAGGAATGCTCTTGAATGACTTGATCCATATACCTTATGAAGTGGGAGTCAGGATTCCAAACCCAGAAGTCGGACCTGGAGTCCAGCTTTAGCCACTGTGATATACACCCTCTCCTAGGAGCTCCAGTGTACCAGGTCCTGTCCACAGGGATTTGCACCCGTTATCTCTATCCTCCAACAGTCCTTCAAGGGACATACTGTCACCTCCAATGGGACTTCCTCAGAAAGAACTTCTTGGACCTCATCTGACTGACGTTTTGGATTATTGTAGTCTGCTTTTCTTTCACTAACAACTAACTAACTACACTGGGTAAATTATAGAGAACAGAGGTTTATTTAGCTCACATTTTTGAAGGCCCAAGATTGAGGAGCTGCATCTGGTGAGGGTCTTCTTGCAATGAGGGCTTGCTGTAGAGTCGCAAGGCAGTGCAGGGCATCGCATGGTGAGACAAGCAAGAGCATGTGTGTCCATGTGTGTTTCTCCTAATAAACAGAAGTCAGTTCTGAGGACCATACCCTGATAACCCCACCCAATCCCAATCACCTCCCAAAGGCTCCAATTTCAACACCATAATCAGATTAAGTTTCCACTCTCTCACCACCATTATAATGGCTCACCAAATTTTAACACACAAATGGGGGGAGGCAAATACTTTCAAACCATAACATGGATGAATAATTCATTTTTATAGGGGATTGTTCTGTGCATGGTAAAATGTTTAACAGCATTTCTGGCCTCTACCCACTGGTTTCTTGTAGCACCCTACCCCGAGTTATGACAACCAAAAATGTCTCCAGAAATTTCCAGATGTCCCCTGGGAACCACTGGTCTCAATTACCAACAGTCAACATTTATTAGGTCATCAGAAAAGTCATGATGTATTTTTCTATCCTTTTCTATGCAAAATGGATCATGACTTTTCCAATGACCCATATTATTCTCCTCCATAGCTCTTAACCATAATGTGTGCATTTGTGTTCTTACTTATCTAATGTCTGTCTTCCCACTATACTGTATTTTTATTAAGTGAATTGTCTTTTTTGTTTATTGATATAACCCTAGCCCTTTACAAGGTTTAAAAAAACAGTAGTACAGTTAATGTTTGTTGAATGAATAAATGTTTTGCAGAAACTCAAAGAGTTGAAATACATGCCTGATAAGTAGGAGTTATCATTGGGTGTTGTATTATTGCTGTTATCTCGGGTTATACTGCCTGGTCAGAACACTGGTGACTCTGAAGCTAGGGCTGTAAGATACAGTTCCCCTCCATGAGATGTTTTCAACCTCATTTTACAGATGAAGAACACAAAGGCCAGGGATAAAATAATTTCCCAGAGTCACAAGGGCTCATGAAGGAGCAAAACTGGCTCATTCTTCCTCCTTTCAGCATGCCCTGTGCTCCCTTCCCAGAGTGCTTTCCTCTCCACTTTTGATCTTTCTGATGCCCTTTTGAAGTAAAGGGGTCTTCTCTAAATTGCTGGCAGGCTTAGCTGTTAAGATGTCAAACTTGGGACCAGCAGATGATATAATGGTTATGTCGCTGAACTCCCATGTAGCAGACTGTGGTTTGAGTTCCAGACCCAGCAGATTAAAACTCATGTCAGGCGCATCTGTGTGAATGCCCAAAATCCCAAGAGGAGAATAGAGGTATAGGGGATTGCAGCATGGCCATCCCCTCTGGGGAGTGATTTCTTGCTTTCTGTTTCTCTGTATCTCCAGCGAGACACGTGCCCTATCGCAAAAATCTCTCTCAAAAAAGGAAAAATAGAGAACCAGCAGTTAGCGTAATGGCTATGTTACTGGACTCCCACGTGGTCGACTGCGGTTCGCGTCCCGGGCCCGGTGGCTTAAAACTCACGCCGGGCGCGTGTGCGTGCGTGCCCAAGATCCCGAGAGGAGAATGGAGGAGAAGGGATTGCGGCGTGACCACC